GTTACTGGTAAGCAACCTGTTTTTTTTCTTAGCTCTGAATCATTCCATTGGCCATTCTACAGAATTACACCCTTTCCTAAGTAACTGTCACATTTATTTATTTAATTTAAAATACAGCCATGTAAATTAAGTCTTGTGTTGGATTCCTGGCCTTTAAATGTTGTTGAGTATTTTAGCAATTAGTCAGACAGCTGTAAAGAGCCACTCTGAAAAATAGTGAAATTAGTTTTCTACAAGGCATATTTCTGTATATGGGGACTGTGATGCTTCAGATTGGTTTCTGTCCATTTGCCCCCTTTAACAATTGATATTGTGAGTAGAAGACAGTAACCCCAAATTAATAAAAGGTCTGAGTGTTGCATTTGATTGCTTCTCTGCCAACAGTAAAGGAACACACCAGTGGAAGTTTGTATGATTTGCTGGTGTTCTTTATTTTGCAGAAGAGATAGAAACTCTAGAAAAGGACTTGGCAAAAACCATGAAAGAGATGGAAGACCTTAAAAACAAACAGGCTAGCCTGCTTGAACAGCTTCAGCAGCAAGATAACCTGAACAAATCGTTAAAACAAAAAAACATACAACAGAAACAGAGCTGTAAAGATTTGGAAAGTGAGCTGGAGACAAAAAATGAACTGGTAAAGCAATTTAGAGTATTTCTAAAAAATTAGAGAGCTCTTGGATTTCAAAATATACTTGTGTCGTAGAACTAAATCTCAATGAAACGGTGTTGCAATATATGGTGGAGACTGGTGTTTAATTTGTTTGGGGGATTATTCAGAACATTTAAACTGTTCCCGCTCAAGTCAATTTGACTACTGAAATATCAGTAGTTGACTTTGTATGTAATTTATCTGGATATAGTACTTTTATGACATTCTTCTCACTTTTGGTGTGTGTGTGTGAGAGAGAGAGGGGGGGGAGAGGGGGAGAGAGAGAGTGCGTGTGCATATATTAACTTTAGAAATATAAATGTTTTCTGTTTTTCATATTCTGATTAACATTGTTGCCTTTAGATAGTTGGGTTAAAATGTTGCTTAGTGATCATGAACTAAGGTGCGGTATATTTTGTTTCCTATTGCATCATATCCCCCAGTTGTCTGGGGGAAAGTTGGGTTTATAAATTATTTAAATAAATATCTTTGGTTTACTTCAGATGTTCAAATTTTCTGTTATTAAAGATAATCTTATCATTTTCATTTCTGACTACAAAACTCACTGTTAAAAACTAGCCTGTTAAGATTTGCTTAGAATTCTTAATTGTTGTGCCCTTACAACATTGCTTAAGACTCAGTGCACAACTCTTAATTAAGATTCTAAGCATCTGGGATTAATGAAAACTGGTTTAAAAGAAGGGTTAGCTAAGGGTTGCTCTGGAGAACTAGAAATTATGAGGCGGAATCTTTATGAGAAGTTCTCGTGCACAATATCTATTGAAGTGAACGGGAGGGTGCTTATTTGAATAGGACTTGTGTGGGAAGACTTCTCAGTGGGTTCTGCCCATTCTTGTAACAACCCTGACTGAATGAACAGCATGTCTCTCAAAATAGCTTAATTTTCAGAATATCTGGCATCCTATATTTTTCAGCACTGCCTACTTTTGTCCGTCTGGATGACAGATTTTGCTTGCCTCTCTTTCCTTTAGCCAATAGCTCGGTTTGTCCCAGTTTCCTTACTGCTGAGCCTTTATTCCACATTAAAGGTAGTCCTTGTGTGTAAAGCTTGATTGCATATATTTTGTTTATAGTGAGTCCTAGGATTTGCTTGCATGGTCTTGTTTCAGACTCACCCAGTGAAGTTAAAACAGAATTTGTTTATACAACTGTTTGCTTGAAACTTTCCTGTTATGTATTTTTTTCTGAATTAGAATTTTTGCATGGTATCGTATACTTTGATTTAGAAATTTAAATCTTTTCCTTATTTCAGTCTTTCCTTTTTCTGCCCTTCTCTGTTTCTCTTTTCCTGCTTCAGTTCTTTCTTCTGCTACCTACTGGAACCTTGCTGCATGCTGTCCTTCAGGTATCCAACAAGAAAAGCTATCAGAAAAAGAGACATCACATAATTCTTTGTTAACAGCTTGAAAGTACTAGGATAGTGGCCATTCCCAATAGATTACATTCATTAATGTACTTTTGGAAGTACAGTTCTGAGATTTATGGAGACCCTATAATGCTTAACCATTGTAGGTTTTTAATGGTTAAGAACTGGTTTTACACCAGGATGTGAAACCATGGTTCAAAGTCTTTGTGAACCATGGTTTGGGTTAACCATGGTGAAATGGTATATATACACCAAGCAATCTGTGGTTAAGACAGTTTGTCTGCTGCTCCCAGCCTCTGTCTGGAAAGTAATAAGCAGGCCTGGAATTTTCCAGTGCATACCAGGACATAGAAGGGCTGAGCTTAGCAATGTAAACTGTGACTTCACTGTTCACCTTTGCAGTCTTAATTAAAGTTAAGACAGTAAACCCTTATTAGTTGTATCTAAGGTCATATATTATGTATTCATCTGGCAACAGTCTTTGGGCATTTGGAATGCACAGACAGACTCGAAAAAAATGACAAAAACACCATTTTAGTTTGTAGTTCAATTATCTCCTGTTAAAAATTAAAATATTTGACCCAAGCAGAATAAAATACAGTTGGATCCTTTATCCAACTGAAAAATATTAATATAATGCAGTTAGGTTAATTTTGTGAAGATGGCAGCCTAGGTTTCCCCCCCAAGCCTTTAATTTGTTAGTATATAAAAAGAACTGATCAAGACGGGTAGCCTTAAAGTCTGTAGTACCATAAAAACTGACAAAAATTTGTGGCACAGTATGAGCTTTTGTGAGTCACTGCTCACTTCTTCAGAACTGAGTAACTCATTACATTAGTGCATTCTACTGTGTATGTATTTTATCAGTAGTATGTCTTGACACATCATCATTATATATGTTTGTATGTGTTTGATAGTAACAGTGCAGTCCTAAGAGAGTTACATTCTTGTAAATCCATTGAGGTCAGTGGTCTTAGAAGGGTACAAATCTGCCTAAGATTGCATTGTAAGATAGCTGTGATCTCGCAGCAGGGCCCTGTTTCTCACTGTGGACAGTAAAAGAAGACAGAATGGAAGCTGTTCCATAGCTGGCAAATGTGAAAGCCTCTGGTGCTTACTAGGAACAGAAAAAGCATTTAAGGGATTTGTCACATGTCTGGGGAGGAAATCTATGTTTTTACTGTATGGTGGTCTGAAGTATTTCATACACATACCTTATAGTGTCCCACCACATGGAAATACTGCTTGTACCAACAGTTTCCTTGTAAAACTGACATGTTGTTACTGACATTTTGTATTAGCTAAAGCAGAAGACCGTGGAATTAACCAGAGCCTGTCAGAAACAGTATGAGTTGGAGCAAGAGCTGGCTTTCTATAAGATTGATGCCAAGTTTGAGCCATTAGGTTATTATCCAGAGGAGGTATTTATTTGAAAACGATATTCTTAATTTGTTTCTTGGAGTTCTCTTATTTCCTTCCAGTCATGCTATTTATGGTAATTTTGTAGATTTTTCTTTAGAGAGTTATTTGTATAGTTGTCTGGTGAAATGAGAAGCTAAAATTCCCCAAAACATGGTATACTGTATGTCAGAAGCACACAAGAAGAAGATTGCCCTAGTTCCCTTTCCCTAGTTGCAATGTTTATGTATTCATTCATATATTTATATCCTGCCTTTCTATTTAAAAATGAATGCTCAAGGCAGTTTTGTATGGGTCTTATTACTGTAAAACAGTTGAAATAACACCTTTACCGTACAATCCTATGCAAACAATGCAGTCCTAAGAACACTTTCCTGTGAGTAAGCCCCATTGAATAGACATCCATAGAATTCTGAGTAGACCTCCTTAGGATTGCACTGAAAGAGGCAAACTACATGATCTCTTTCTTCATGCACTTACGCTAGTTTGCCTGTGTTCCTTGCAGCCCCACAGCAGTTGCAGGGAACTGCTTCTTAAAAAACGACAACAGGCGAGGCCAGGTCGGCTTGGAATGACACGATGGAGGAAAGAAGGGCTCCTGCCTCCCCACCAGCATTTTTCTTGCACGGAAACTGCACTGGAGGGAATTTATTTTGCATATTTTGCTGCTCTGCATTCACAGGTACTCCACATGGAGCATCAAAATTGGCAAAAAAACCCCCTTCCCCTAGCATAGTTTTTGTGTGAGAAAACTACTTGGGGGGAGGCAGAAGCCCTTTCCCTA